GAAACAAGGTACCTTGAACTCAGTATATTGACTAGAGTTCATCATTGGTCGAAGTTTATTTTGCTTACTTTGTTGAAGATGAATTTCATAATGTTCATCTCGTAATTGATAATCAGGATGACCAGCTAATTCTAATTTAGTAAAAATATCATAGATATTTTCAATTGTTTTTAATATTTTTAATTGTCCATCAATTAAAATTTTTTTATAGATTAAATTTTGTTGAACATCAACATTACAAAATGTTAATTGACGTTTATGATCATCAATATCTGACATTGATAATAGAAATTGAATTTTTTTTATTTTAATTTCATCATTATTTTCAATTTGTTCTTTCTGATTATTTTCATTTTTGACTTTTTTTATTTTATTTTGTATACGATCAATCGAATAACCAATTTCATAATATGATGATTTTCTAGTTAAATGCCGTAAATAAATATTAACAATTCCATTTTTATATAAATGTTCCATAGTAATCAAAGCATTGTCTAAAACTGTTGTTTCTTCAGCTGATAACCACATCGTTACACTTGATATATTATCATTAATTACTAAAAAAAAAAATAATTATAATCATTTGATTGATATTTTCAAATTCATGTTTTATTACTGAAGTTTACCTTTAATATGATTTAATGAATTTTCTTCTAAATTTGATAATTGAGCAAGACGATAAATAAAATCATTGAAATTTTTAGCTTTAAAAATAAATGGTTCAATTAATGTATATGTTATAATCAATGAATTTAGTATCATATTATTTAATTCTTGTAATTGAAATTGTGTTGTTAAATTATCTCGTAATTCTTGAAAATGACGTCGTCCATTAGTAGAATAAAGATCAAATTTTTTCATCATTTGAATAACATTCGAATATTCGACAACTGTTTTTACTAATTGTAAATGTTGATGAGTTAAATTTTGAAAACAATCTTGTAAAATTTGATAAGCTTGAGTTATATCTCTTAATGAACAATTTTCATTGTTACTTAAATGTCTTAAATGAATAATTATTTCTTCTTCATTATCTAATGATAATATATCGAATTTTTCAATACATTTCATAATAACATTGAGATGAGTATAATATTGATAGATTTGTAACCATTTACAAACTTGTTCAATTTCTTTTTCATTAGAATGAATAACTGGAATTTGAACAAGCGTATTAGTTGAAATATTTGTTCTATTATTGTTTTGTTCATTTAAACAATTTGTATATAATTTTTTGACTTCTTCTCGAATATTAATATTTTTATCATAGAAAATAGTTCGTAATTCTGTCATAGCTCGTAAACTTAAATTACCATTTAAAAGTTTATTTATAAAATCAAAAACTTCATCAAGTAATTGACTAAAATCTTGTTCGGAAATCATTTGTGAAGTTTCATGATAATATTTATTATAATATATATTGAAAATACCATTAAATAAATGGCAAGTTGATAGACTGATCGATTTAATTTGATACCAAATAATTCTTGAAGTTGAACTATTTTTATTATTAATAGTTATTAATAATTGACCGTTACGTTGACTTTCAAATTGACCATGAAGAACATTTTTATGTATAGGAACATTTTCTTTTTGATATAATATTTCATATTGATTATTCATTCCATGTATTCGATATTCTAGTTTAATATGACATGGATAATTTTCACTTACTAATGACCATTGAACTTGTTGACGATCACTAATATATATAATGTATTCATAAGTAGTTCTACCTTCTACTGTAAATGTATTATTAGGTTGAAAACGTTTTAATTCTGTAAGAAATTTCATTGTATTATCTTGAATATTTAATATTCCTGGATTAAGTATTTCTAATGAAATTAAACAATTGAATAGATAACAAAGATGTTGAAGATCTTTGAATGGTTGTAAAATTTTCAAAATACGATCAATAATTATTCTCATCTCAATAAATGTCATTTTAGAATCATAACGAATATTTAATAAATCAATAAATAATTGATTCGAATAATTAACATTATGATTTTTTAACCAAACGATAATATATTGAAAAATATCAATAAATCGATCAAACCAATCAAACCATTCATTTATTTGTTGAATAAATTGAAAAAGAAATTCTTCATTTGATTCAATATTTCTAATATCAATATCTTTAGGTTTAGGTAAACCAACAATACTATCGATATTTACTGTTGTCAATGGAAATTTATATTGTTGATGATCGACTGAACCAAGAATTTTATTAAAATCGATCAAAGGAAGAAAACAATAAATAATTGAATCAGTCAATAAATCACGATATAATGAACATTTACCTAGAAATTAAAAAGTACACATATATTCAGTAAATTGTGAGCAGAGTATCTTTTCTGGTATCCTTTTACCATTATGTCATAGGATCTTGATTGAGTACTATGTTTAGAATCATCTAAGTATATGAGTACTTATCAGATACATGCATAGTTAATATAATACTGTGTGAAAACTTTTTCAACAAGTTAGTAGATTAAGCAGGATATTCCGAACTTAGTCTATTCACAAGAGTTTGAATCAATGATTGGATCAGTACAAGTACAGTAAGTACAATACAATATTTTGCTTTGATTAATGTTTCTTTATTATTATCTACTATACTGATATTGTCATAAAGAATGAACATTTTATTTCGTGAATTAGTTGTTTTTTAAGTCAATCAATTTTTAAAAATAAATGAACTGTTGTTTCTCGTGTGTACTATCAATACTTGTCAGATCTTTTTTATTAGTTTGCTGCTAACTTCAAACTCGTTGATTTCTTCTTCTAGAGAGCTAATATTTTCATTTGATAATTTGTTTTTCGAGCTAATAAAAATTTTAATTCGTTGCTTACATCACTTATATTGTTTAAGATTTAGTAATTCAGTAAAAACTTATACGGAACTATCTTATAAAGAGATGGACAAATAATACAATCTCTTGATAACAAAATCTCATTTCATTCAAGATTAAATAGTATGACACAAATACTTAATCCATACAATTTGTATATCCGTTGTTATGTTGAAAGTTTATTTAAAAGAAAAAACTATTACCTCATATATTCTGTATGACTTTAAAGTTATTTCGGCATTGTTAAAGTATATCCTACATATAGATAATATTTAGAACGTATCGAAAGAAGAGAAAACAATAAATGCAAAACTTGAAAATTTTTTGTATCAGCACTTAGTATTGGTACTAGGTACAAGCGAACTTAAGTAAAATGATGTACTTAAGAATTCATACACATGAAACAAATGACAAATCTATTGTTGCTTGTGATAAGATAGCAGAAAACTTAAGTTAAAGATGAAATATCAATAAATAATTGATTAGGAAAATTTCGATATTGATATGAACTTACTCTTTAAATGAAGAATTTCATGAATAGTGTCTAGACCATTGTTAATAAAATTATTAATTTGTTGAATATCTATTCTTCGAGATGTACTTTCACGCATAGCTATGATAAATTTCATAATTATATCAATATTTGGTAACGTCATAATTGATCTGGAATATTTCATAAGTATTAATTCAAATAATTTATTAACTAATATAATGGTGAAAATATCTGTTGGATTATAAATATCACATTTAACATTTTTCATCCAATCATTAATTTTGGATAGAATATCTATATGATTATTATTTAATATATTTGAAAGACTTGAATGTACAATTTGTGACCAAATATAGATTGCCCAAGGATTATTCTGATGATTTGTACATAAATAT